AATTACATGAATATTTACTATCTCAAGTGTGACCTTTCTGTTGCTTACTCCAAGCACAGTCATTCTGAACAGCTACTGGTCCTTTACAGTTATTTTATCATATACAGATTGTTCTTATATACACAACTAGCCTGTGACCAAGACCAGAAGACAGCTAACTTTAAAATATTTTTTTCTTCTTTTTTTTTAAACTGAGCATGTAAATGATGTAATTTCTTCTGGTTACTTATACATAACAAAAAACATAGCTAAAAAAATGAAAGAACCTCAGAAAGCTACTTTATTTCTACTCATAAAATAAATGAGCAAAACAAAACCTATTTATTTCAACTGACATTTTAGGTACAAATCCTGCATGATATAACTAACAGATTGCCAGTAAGCTTTAAAATTATTTAAGAAACAAACAAAACCAGACCCTCAAATGTTTATACTTAATATTTTCCCAAAAAATGAAGTACCACAATTTTAGGAGTATTCCAGAATTATTTATTTCACACCATTTAAACTCCACTGAAAATAATGGTAAGTTATTTACCTCGAAAATAATATTTTTTTTGCCTATTGAAATTATAATTCTAGTGTATCATAAAAAGCTAAAAAACAACACAGAGAAACATACAAAATTTCCTTGACTGCAAAGAAATAATAAAGTAAGTAGTAAAACAGTAAAATGTGAGTAGATCCCATTTATTTGGTTATTTGCATTTGGTAAAGAGTTATATAAGACCACGTGAAGCTAGGCAGCGTGACAAGTAATGTTTTCAGAAAAGACGACTTATTCCAAATACATCATCTTTGAATGGAAACTCAAAACAAACAAACAAATAACCAAAACCAGTGGTATTTAACATGCAATGCCTGGTTTTGACTTTCATTGCATGAACCGGAATGCAGAATCTGTCCCTCATAGCAATCTACTGTGTCACAACTGGACACATAAAATAGTGATTCAGGTTTATTGATTTGCAATAAGTATTTCCATGTGAAGAAGTAAAACGTCACATCTATGTTGAACTGAAAACAAGCACTTTAAAATGAACAAGATCTTCATCTAATGTAATGATGATTCAGCTGATGACCTTAATTTTTCCATAACAGAAGTCTAATCACATCAGTTCTATTAAAAAAAGAGGGAAGTGGAAAGGGGGAGAGAGTGATGAATGGAAGGCCTGCTTGGATTTTGTGATATACATAAAATAATGAAATTCCTGTGTCAAGGCATTTTATATAAAGATTGCAACCAGCCTACACTACAGTCAGAAAGAAAGGAAGAGAGATGAGATAAGGTTAATTCTCTGTGCTTTCAGAAAGCACCAGCTTTGAAGGAGTAGGACCTACAAACCACAAAGCATATGCAACTTTAAGATATCTGTGCACTATAGTGCACAGAAAGACAGTCATCTATTTGTAAAAGCTGTGTCCACAGAAGATGACATATGTTTCCTCATAGTTTCAAATTTGCAAATAGTTTATATGAACTAATTATTGCAGTAAGAGCCCTGGACACAGAGAAAAGATGGATCATATTCACAGCACAAATGAAGGTGCTAGCTCAATTTTTCCCTTTAGCAGAACCCTAAGACATAATTATTGAAATACATAGTGTGATGCATTAATAACTTGTTATCATCTAGAAACATCGCATGGTCTCCCACATGTTCAGAAGAGAGGAGATGAGGTGTATCTGAAAACCGGCGAAGTCCACCCTGGTGTCAGTTCACTGAAAACTCAAACTGAGTGTGGCAGGCGCACCCACCCCGATGAAGACAGGGCTTACTGGCTGTTGAGACACAGTGGCTGCGCATTCTGTTTTCACCCTCTTGTTCTCAGGTTTTTAGTGTAAGGGGCGCCCTCGGCCAGCGGGATCTGATGATACTGACCACAGAGCAGACTCAGATGGGGTATAAATGGAGTCCCCTGGGGGAGTCATTCTGACCCACCCCCTCTGGAGCAGCACAGCTGCAGCTGAGGACTCTCCCCTTGGGTTGGGACACTGCCCAAGGAAACTCCTTGAGGTTGAGAGCCCTCACTTTTTAGGTGAGTGACTGGGAATTTTGGATTATTGTTAAATCCTAGGAGTTTATTGAAATGATAGTGCAGTAATAGCTTTTTCCCTCATGAACATTTGGATCTGTCATTTATTAATTGCTGGAGTGCCAATTGATTGTACCTAAAATAAACTTTATTTTAGTTATGTTCTGTTTAATTTGAGAGTCTCCACAACAGAGAGAAAGCCCCTCTAGCCAGCCACTTCCTAACCCTGCAGCCCCTCCTCAAAAGTAGAAGAAAATCCCTGTGCAGCAGATTCTGCAGGAAAACAGCTTTCTGAGGAAGCCTGCTACAGGTGTATTTTCTTCCCTTTTAAGCATTTAAGATTCAGCTGACCCACAGGTATGTGGAGCAGACACATCTTTAACACTGATGTCCTGATGGTCTTTACAGGAAAGGAGGAATGCAGGAGGTGCAACGTGAAGAAGGTGGGGCCTGCTGTCCTGCCAGGTTCACAATTTTGCGAAAAAGCAGCTGAACAGTCATCGTCTCTAAGCACCTAGGTTCTTATATTTTTCACTAAAGGCTGCTCTGATACCATCACAGTCAGACTGCCAATTTCTGTGAATCCAATTTATCCTGCCTTTTTAATGGGGTTAGGTGACAGATTAAAGCAAAAATACCTGCAGGTCTTCCCTTCCTTTATCCCTGAGTCTGAACACAAACTCAGTGTTGCATGCTATGATTCATGTGGGCGACAAGAGGAAGAATTAGGAAATTATTAGAGGCTCCCCTTCTTTGCTTTGCAGACCTTTCCTTGATCATCTCAACCTTTTCCTCGTTCAGCCTTTTTTTAAACACATGCAGCAATAGGATACAGTACATTCCAGCAGATAAGTAGACTCAGTACTAAAAATTTTGTCAGTCACAAATCACATCCTAGTATGATTTTTGAATAATGTTCTTTCGGCATAGATTGAAATGATCGCTACTAGCATCCCCCCTGAGAAGCTGAGCTCTTTACGTTTTCCTTTGTCACGACACAGACGTGATGTACATTTCTATACCCTTTTGGTATTCTCTGTCTGCTGAGCACATTCAGACTGTCTGGGCAATGACCCTTTAGTGAAGTGAGTCACAGCTTAAAAGGTTAAATGCAATTTCATTATTTTTGGTGCTGCGAGTAAAAACACATAGAATTCAGCAAAAGGTATACAGATGTGTACTCAAAAACAAGAGCTTTGCCCTCTGTCCAACCAACTGAGCTTTAACAACTTTGGTCCTTTAGACCCACTGACACAGCCCCTATTTCTTGAGCCTTTTTCTTATTTCCTTGTCAGGTTGTGACAATGTGTGTCTATGCTCTTCCTTGTAGCTGTACAAGATGAACTGACTAGCAATTGATTCCTTCTATTCATAGTATCTTTATTTTCTTCAGTTCACTTTAACTTCCCCATCACACTTAGCTCCTTCATTTGTTTGTTCCTCTTTAGACAAGCAGAAGTGAGTAGTGTTTACTTTGTTTGCTTATATAACTGATTTTCTCAGCTATGCAAACAGAACCAAGATTGTGATATTCTTCGGTAGACAGACATTTTGCTGGTCAGTACCTGTAAAAAAATTATCAGTCATTCTTTTCATTATTTTTGTATTGCTTGCTGGCCATGGGATTTGTTACTGGTTTTCCTTCTGTGATTGCAATAGCATTTACTGTGATTTTTTGGCATTAATATAATTAATATGCTAATAAGACACATAGTAACATGAACACTTGTGGTTTACTGCATCCTGTATCCCTATTCCCATTAGCTTTCATTGCTGATTTGATCAAGATGTAGTTCACAATGATGAAAAATTATCTAAGATCACAACTCCAAGATCCAGAGGAAATGCAACTCTGCTGTGTCAAATCATTTCCAGTAAGGGTGTGGTACGGGTGTGATAGGAGTGTGGTAATAACATGTGTGGGAAACTATCATGGGCTGCCACAGACCCTTGCATGCAATAGGAACAGCCAGACCCAGACCAGTAGTTTGTAACTGTTGTTCCCTGCATATCTTACCCAGAACAAACACAGCATTGGACTCCTCCTGAGCACCAGAAGATTAATTCATGCCACCACCACTCACCTGATTACCCTTCAATGACTGCCAGGAGACAAACCACAATAGCATTGGTAATACCCAAGCCAAGATACTAAGACTGCCATTTCGCCCAGCATTCTGGGTTCAAAGGTACTGTATATTGTAAGCCCTTTGGGAAGAGGTGAGTCAGAAAGGCTTTAAATAATATATCATTGTGAGGATTTTATAGTTCCTGTATTCTTCCACCCTCATTTAAAACCTTACTTTGGTAAAGTCAGGTAAGATTCCCCCATTTTTAAGTTCACTTGTTAGGCCTGACTTTCATCTGTTCATATGCTCGTTATTCATTCTGCAGAAAATCGGCTATCTTCACTCTGACACAGCAAGGGTTAGGCTCACTGCTCCTCAAGGACCATGGGCTGTGAGTTCTGAGCTGAAGCATAGTTAATGCACTTTGGAGAACATCTGCCTCAGTTCAGTGGCTAACAAAACACGAGGGGTCCCTGTATGACAGAGCAGGACCAGATGAAACGATGGCTACCGAAGAGCAAAAATAACAGTTCAGTATTTTTAAAGCTATCAGCTTGATAGTCCTGGCACCTGGACTACTCCAGCCATAGAATTAATTGCCTGTCTGGTTTCCTCCTACTTTCACGAGAACGTGCTGTTGTGAGCATTAAAATGGTAGTGCAATTCACCCTCCTCATAGTCTCAGTGTTTTGCCTCTCTGCCCGCACTAACCTCAAGACAGTCACTGTATATTTGTAGACAGAAATGAAATTAGTAATTTCAAATTCCTTATCTTAGCAAGACTGTAAAATCCTTATTGTACATTAAATTCCTTTTATTTGCTACATTTGTCAGCAGGGCTCTGTGTTTGAGTTCTAGTTATCAATATGGTTATTCAGAAAACAAATATCAAACCTCTCTTTCCATGTAGTGTCAGACCATTCTCTTGTGTGATTCTGGGCAGCAGTCCATGTGTCCCCCCAGGCTTACAACCCTCTTCTTGTATGTGGCCTTGACATCTTGAGAAGTGGCAGGAAAAGAACTACAGGAACAGCATCAAGGAAAGCTGCTCAGGAAGAAAAAGGAAATTGTAAAGAAAAAAGAAAGAACAGAAAACCATTCACAGTGCAAAGCTTGCAAATCTCTTATACAAACAAATAAATAAAATCGTACTAATGGATGAGTGACTGAACGACAATAGCTTATCAGCTTCAGTTGCATCAAAAAGTTCCAATTTCACACTCTGACACCTTATATTACTGAAAAGAAAGATATAAACTTGTGCATTAATCAGAAGAAAGTGAAACATAAATGTTTCCCCCATTCCCACCTGCAATTTGTGACTTGGAAAAATATGAGAACAGTAGGAACTGACATTAAAATAGAGACAGAATGACATCTACTGGCTGTCAGGAACTGGCTTGTTTCACTGCTGAAAACGTTCAGGATTTTCTTCCCTTTCCTCAAAATAAATGAGTCTCAGATTATATAAATCATAGGGGTTAGCTACTAGACAGGGAATGAAGAATGGATCAACCCAAATAAAAGCCTCCTTTGGTCAGTTTTTAACCAATTGGCTACCTAATTAAAAATACCTATATAAATGGCTTAATGCGTTTCAGATCTTTAATATTAATGCTAGAGAGTAAATAGATGGTCTGCTAAAGAGCTACCAGAAACTGAAAAAAAAACCAGTGCAATTTTGCACTGGGTGCAGGTTTCCATAGTACATTGTACTAGAATAAATAATACTAGAAAACAGAACTATGTCTTTTATGGAAAAAAGTACTTAAGCAGCTGAATTTTATGACTCTATATATTTTATTCTATATATTCTACATATTTTCATATAAAGAAGATATTACATTACCAGAGTTTCTTTGCTTCTACAGATTTTTTTAACAAACCTAGAATCATCATCAGCAATATAAAAATCTCAGAAGGTCTTGAGATTTTGTTGAAGATCACAGAAACATCTCAGTCTTAAGTGAACATTTTTCTCTGTTATACATGTCCTCTTGCTCTCTCCACTTATGGATCTTCTCAGTACGAGTGTGGCCCTTTCCCCTGTTAGCAACGATACTCTGTGGGTGATACTGCCAGTACAAACAAATTGATCTTGCTCACTTTCTATCTGCCACAAGATATATTTCCTCATCCTGCAGTTTCTCCATGCTGCTTAATTAAACTCCTCTCAACTCTCATGTCTGCTCAACAGGAAACATCTCTCTAGCTCTCACGCCTCCAGTAATAACCAGAAATTAGTGTGTCATAGACATTAGCATTTGGTCATTCTTTCCTAATATATTGAGCTCAGAAACAGAAAAATTATAAGGAGATCACAGTGTTATCCTGGTTAGGAAAAGATAAATGATAAACACAATTGAGTTGGTGTATATATTCATCAATATAGCATATAGTTATATGACATACTGCAGAGAAGCAAAAGTAAGACTCAGTTCTGGCCTTGAGCCATGGTTGAAATAGACAAATATACCCAGTGAGATAGCACATAAACGAAGGTGGGGTAAGAGCTGAGTATGAACAAAAATAAGGATAAAAGCTGATATTCACAATAGCAGACTAGGGGATTTAGGTAGATATTCTGTAAAATTTCAATGGCTTCTCCACTGCAGGAATGGATACAGACTCAATAGGAATAACACAGCCGTGCAGCTGCATGAAGTAATGCTCCCTCTTCCCCAGCCCAGTGGGCCTGGAGTCAGAGAAGGGGATACTGTGCCAAGCTGCAGCTGTGAAAAGACACACGGGCATCCCCTGATGCTCTTCACTGAGTCGGCTTCCCTTTGGTCCATGTCTCTGGCATACAGAACCAGGAACCTGCAAGGAAGCTACAGAGCTGCACAAGTGTGCATGAGTTGCCACTGCCAAAGCACAACAGAACAAAATGGATTAACTTTCAGCACTACTAAGCCTTTTTATTTAATTTGATGTAATGTATTTAAGTTCACAAAATGTACCCAGGTATTCACAGAATCACAGACTGGTTTGGGCTGGAAGGGACCTTAAAGCCCATCCAGTCCCACCCCCCTGCCCCGGGCAGGGCCCCCTTCCCCCAGCCCAGGGGGCTCCCAGCCCCGTCCAACCTGGCCTTGAACCCTTCCAGGGAGGGGGCAGCCACAGCTGCTCTGGGCACCCTGGGCCAGCGCCTCACCCCCTGCACAGGGAAGAATTTCTTCCTTCTATCTAAACTAAAACCACCCTCTTTCAGTTTAACACTGTTACCCCTCATCCCATCCCCACACCCCCTGACCCAGAGTCCCTCCCCACCTTTCATGTCCCCCCTTTAAACCCTGGGAGGCCGCTCCAAGGTCTCCCCAGACCCTTCTCTTCCCCAGGCTGAACCCCCCCAACTCTCTCAGCCCGGCCTCCCAGGGGAGCTGCTCCAGCCCCCCCAGCATCTCCGTGGCCTCCTCTGGCCCCGCTCGAGCATCTCCGTGTCCTTCTGCTGTTGGGGGCCCCCGAGCTGGCCCCGGCACTGCAGGGGGGTCTCCCCAGAGCGGAGCAGAGGGGGAGAATCCCCCCCTGGCCCTGCTGCCCCCCCTGCTCTGGCTGCAGCCCAGGGCACGGGTGGGTTCTGGGCTGCGAGCGCACGGGGCTGCCTCACGGGCAGTTTTCCCCCCACCAACCCCCCCAGTCCCTCTCCTCGGGGCTGCTCTCCAGCCACTCCTCGCCCAGCCGGGGTTTGTGCTGGGGATTGCCCCGACCCCTGGGCAGGACCTTGCCCTTGGCCTTGTTGAACCCCATGAGGTTTGCCCGGGCCCCCCTCTCCAGCCTGCCCAGGTCCGTCTGGATGCCATCCCTGCCCTCCCGCGTGTCACCCACCACACAGCTCGGGGTCAGCGGGGAACTTGCTGAGGGTGCGCTCGATCCCACTGTCCGTGTCACTGACAAAGATGTTAAACTGCAACAAACAGCCACCCGCTTGCCCCCAATGCCCCCTGCCAGAGTGGGACGGGGGAAGAGGAATGAAAGAGTAAAAGCAAGAAAACTTGTGGGCCAAGATAAAAAATGTGTAATAACTGAAGGAGAAGTGCAAGAAGAGAGAAAGGAAAGAAAACAAAACAAGTGATATAAAGGCAACCACTCATCACCTACCATGAGTATGCCAACATCCAGTCAGTTCCCAAGCAAAAGATGACTAACCTCACTGAAGTCCCCCTTCTTTGTTTTTTATTGCTGAGCATGACATTATATGGTGTGGAACATCTCTTTGGTCAGTTGGGGACACCCATCCCAGCTGTGTCTCCTCCCAAATTCTTGTGCCCCCCCCCCAGCCAGACCGTTGGCGGGGCAGTGTGACAAATGGAAAAGGCCTTGATGCTGTGTATGCACTGCTCTGCAACAGCTAAAACATCCCTGTGTTATCAACACTGTTTTGGTCACAAGTCCAAAATACAGCATCGTAAGAGAGATACTATGAAGAAAATTAAGTCTATCCCAGCCAAAACCAGTACACATGACAATACTTTGGATATCAAATCTATTTACAGAAAAGCCTGAGATAATATAAAAACTCTTGTATAACCATCACTGAGGAAAAAAAGTAGTAGTATAAGATGTGAAGTAACACTTTGGTATTGTAGTAACAGACTTCTGATCAACAAACTTCAGGAAATCAATTGAATTAGATTTTACTTTAATTGCTAATAAGTAATTATCTTTTGGCTTAAACTTTAACATAATTTCTGTTCTTCTTACTCTTTCATCAGATTTCATAGTCTCTCAGTGAAGGAGAGAAGTTTTATATAATGGCAAGCAATAGTATTTCACATTCATAGATTTTAACCACAAGATTCTCAAATATGGGTTATTCATAAAACCTACCATTACAGATTCAAATTGTTAGCCCACTTCGAAAGTCCTAGTTCAAACAGGGAGATAGCAATAGGTTGCTTAAACTCAAATTATTAATCAAAAAAATTCCCACAGAACACAGCTTGAAATATCTTTACTTTCTAGGGGACAAAATCTGTCATTTCACCCAGCTCAGAATGGTACAATAAAGTCACCTAATCTTTTCCTAAAAAAAAAAACAAAATTGGTCTGATGAATCACATCCTAGAAGTGCCTATTTCTCTTCAGCAAGTTCAAAAGAAATCTAGCTAAAATACAGATATCTATATTGCAGAAATCTGAAGTTAGATGAGATTGAACCTCAGTCTATAGATAAGAAACAATCTTCTTGCATTCAATCTCCTAGCAGTCTTCAGGACTGAATTTTGGCCTACTCTTTCACTGCTCTGAGAGGCTGGAGCACTTGAAATGCATCCTGCCATACCCTGTCTAATCTGTGCTGATGTGTGCCTCCTAGAGTCAGAGCATTTAATCTTTGTGCTTCTGCATTCAACCAGGAATTCACGTTTGCATTGCCTATATGTGTGTTATGTAAAATGAGCAGACCTCTAAGACCATTAAAAGTAGTTGTCATTCAGTTTATATCAGAACTGAGTATTTGCTAGCAGAGAGTACAATTTGCAGAGTTTCCGTATTAGAGTCTTTCCTACATTTAAATGGATTTTCTTCTATGTCAATATATACCTATTTCATGGTCCTAACCTGGTATCTGCATTTACAGAAAACTCTCCAAATTGCTGTGTATTAAAGTTGAAAAGTAAATATTTTTGTCCTGTGATATTGTTTGAGATCTTGATAATATTCTTATTGTGTAATTATCTTTTTTACTAACATCTCTATTCATAGGTCCATGTAAAAACATGGATCTTTTGTTGTGTGAGTAAAGATTACAATAAGAAAATTAGGAGGGTTGAAGCTATGTCTGACTTCATACATCACAATGACTAACTTTTGCTATCATTTAAGTAACCATTTTTAACTATTATTTTGAAATGGAGATATAAAATATAAAGGTATAATGCAATAGGTTTACAGCAACGTAACGTGATGTAATATGGTTTTCCTTTCATTTTCAATTAAAGTCATTATAACTTAATAATTTATAGTTCCAAATAGGTATTTCTGATGTTGTTATAGAAATACACTAACAACACTAAGCAATTTATTGAAAAGTTACCTTATGCTTATAATATTTCATTAAACCACCTCTTCCAGTAGCCTGCCTACCATTTTCTCTCAAAATTGTTTTCTATATTCCAAAGAAGTGATGTGTTAGGATAACTGTTATGTAGTCATTCATTGACTGTTACAATAAATTTGTCACGAAAAGTTCAACCTGGTTAAGGGTAGGAGCATTTTAATGGTTTGCCTATTTCATGGGCTCCAGGCAGGCATAATGATTTTATAGAAAATGATAATGTATGTTATATGATCTGCATAACAGTCTAAAAAAATGCTAGCTATTTCAGTGAATGCTTGCTGCCTTCCATAAAACTGCACTGACGCAGGTTCAAGTCCCATTTTAGCCCCAGGGAAAAAGAGGTTTTTCCCCTCAGCTTAAGTCATAAATACAAACAAAATCACTGTGTTACAGCTGAGTCCTTGCCTGGCTGTCTGCACATACCTAGTGTTTAAAGTATGAACTACTGCTGCTTGAACAAAGACCAAATGCTCCATAGGTTTGGTTATACAAGTCAGTCTTCGTAAATCATTACTGAGTGAGACTATAACACTCTTCTATGGAGTGTTTATGGCCCTTATCCCATCATGCCTTTTCACTTTAGCACCAGCTACAGATTAAAAAAATCACTTCAGTTCTTACCTTCTCTGGCCAAGACATTCTAAATGGGTTTCTAAAGTTCATTTCAATCAACGTAATGACCTGCAGCCAGCACCATGAGTTCAGTTGTCAACTTCATTTTCAGAAAAATCTACAAAATAAAGCAGAATAAAATAAGTTCATTTTTTTATGATACATGTATCAAAATATCTGAGTAATTATAATGCTTTTTATTTTAGAAATGCATAGTTCAAGCAGCATTTTCTGCATGATTTAATAACTTTGCTTAGTCTCTTCCAGTTTAAAGGTGACCTTTAAAGGTCCCTTCCAACCCAAACTATTCTATGAATCTATGACAACTGCCTTGAATGGTTTGTAAAGATCAATTGTTTTATAGAGATGTCATTTTAAGAGATTAAATTAAATTATAGTAGAAATCTCAGAATATTCATCAGTAGTTTTTCATTAAGTAGTTTTCAATAAGGAAACAGTATCAAGTCAATTCTTAAATGCACATGCTTTTTCATAGTTACAGGACCAACAGCCCAACAGCCACAGTATTATGGTTTTAAGGGCCAATGTCAGACTAACAGTGTTTTATTAACCCTTGCACTGTACAGTTTCCTGCAGGCTTTTTAAAAAAAAAAAAAAAAAACAAAAACAAAACCAAAACCAAACCACAAAACAAAACAACAAAACCAGCAAACTGGTTTAGTTAATTTACTTTACTTTGATTTCCAGTATGTAAAATGTATGCAAGTCTAAGAATGAACTAAAGTAATGACCACTAAAACCCATAAGGTTTGTGGGAGAGGTTTTTCAGATTATTTTCTGCAGAACACAGCAAAACTTTTTGCAGAATTCCTGTCTCTACACAAATGTGAATACATTGCCACTACATTTACCTAACAGCACTTCTTAAAATCCTGTTCTTTTTGAAGCTGACTGGTGTTCTCGACACTCCAATTACTTTTTTATTATTTATTCCACAATTAGTACATATCTCAAATCTCACAGCATACTTTAGAGAACCAAAGTTTCTCAAGCACAGTGAATGCTTGACATCTGTTTTCTCATAGCTAAAAAAAAATTTTGAAAATTTAAAAATACCTGTGAGATTACTTTTTGCTTAGGGCAAAATCTGCAACTTGTATATTTCTGCGCTGAGTCTTATCAAATGGAAAAAAAGCATTATATCTTTATCTTTCTACTTTAAATTTAAAAATGCTTTCAACATCATAATTTTAGATTGATATAGAAAAATACTTGCAGAATAAAACATATTGTTTGGTAACCACAGCTAACCAACCCTGTAGCAGCCAAAGGAAGATTTATCTGTAATATTCCTAAGCACTGATATAGACAGAATGAAATTATTATCATCTTGGTCTTTATTATTATATCACAGAATGTGACTGCAAGTGTGACACAAAATACCTTGAAAAATATTTCACCTCAAAGTGTTAATGTCAATAGCTAGGAGAAAAATCATCTTCTTTGACCTTTTACCACAAGCAAATCTTTCACATATTACATACTGATTTTCTGTATTTCAGAATATGAGTGATGTATCTCAAATGATGAAAGCCTAAATGAGGTGTGATCGAAGATGCTTTATTTTGATAAACAAGGATTAACTATAAAACCCTTGATAAAAAAAAAATAAATCACCTAAAGGAAGGAGGCAATCTGCAATAGCATACACAATTCAAGTTCAAGTGCATATAAAGATATGGGAAAATTTATCAGATTTACATTGCATATGTAGAACTTTTCATTTTGCTGCTTCTGCTTCATTAATGTAGCAGTAAAAACGAGGGGGGAAACCTTGTTACAGCATGAAAAGGGCATACACTCTTTCATGCTCAATGTCTCAAACTTCTTTTTGAACCAAAGTTTAATTTGAGTGACATCACCTGATTTAGGTAACCAGAGTAAAGATTAATTTGTCCTACTGTTCTAGAAGTCTGTTGTAGCTATACTACTGAAACACTCATTTGTCCAGGTTCTAAATGTCAAATAAGTTATTATTTTATATCAGCAGAAATATGGCTTTATACTCTGAAAACTGATTAAAAAGGAGAGTCACATAACAAATATAATGGAAATTAATGAAACTTTTGTAAGAATAAAAATCAGGAAACTCATTTCCTATAGGACTTCCATAAGAGGCGAATATATTTTCCTGATGTGTTCTAGTTTCACCCAGGCTGGACAATCCTCTTTTCCATTAGCTTCCAAGTCTATTTTTCTTATTTTACCCATATTGACAAAATTTTGATGCCCTATCCTGCAGAAATCGAGCTTTTTTTTTTTTTTTTTTTTTTTTTTTTTTTTTTTTTTATCCTGCAGGGTCTAAATTATCATCTGCAATGAGTTTTGTAAAAAGCGGCTCTTGAAAAACTACCGAGAAAACATTGGTCTCGTGTCCTCCTGTGTCATAGACTTAGTTATGTCTGTGCCATTTCCTTCTGTTTTTTAAAATTCTAAAAGTTCTTCTCAAGAAGCTACTGATCTACTTTCTACACCCAGTTGGAATAGTCCATAATTTTTTGTGTCTGATATTCAGAGCAATATACTGGAAGCATATCCCCCAGTCAGATACTCAGTAATATTGCTCAAGCCAAATATGCTATCATTCCTGGTGATCTCTCTTACCAGCTATACTGGTTACTGATTTTGTGCCACCTGAAATGTAACAGATTAACTGTTGTTTCCTTTCTTAGTAAAAGTTGTCACTGTGATTGAAAAAAACTGGGCTTGTCCTATGAAAAAGTGTTTTGCCTGACCTCTAGCCAAGAGAAAAACAGAAGGGAAATCGAGTGAAGCAACTAAGCCTTTCTTGAGTAATATGTTGCACAAGTGCCTCTGGAATTTATATGTCCATCTAACCCCAGTGCAAATTCTAAAACAAATCAAAATGTACTGCTGGGGGGCGGGGGGAGAGGAGAGGCATTTGAAAAGTCTGAATTTTTTCTATCTGGGACATTTTGCTCTTTCTTGGGCAGTAAACACACAACTGGCAATTTCAATAAGGATCCCCAATAAAACACTTGCTAGACCTTTCTTTGTGGATAATAAAGACACACTGTGTCTGAAAACTCCATTCCTGGAAATAATTTCTTCCCAGCTCCTGTTGAAACATTTCAATGCTGTGCTGTTGCCATTGGAAGCACAGTCTAGACAAAGATAAAATTAGAAGCAAGCATTGTCCTTTTTGTAAAGCACAAAGCAGTGTCTAATCTAATCTTCTCATCTCAGCAAAGACTTTGCCTGTCTCGTCTACATTATCTAGTGACATTATAAAATGGTGGACAGGACCCTCTTTTCTTGAATTGGGCAGGAATCTGACAAGTGCAGCCCCAAAAGCAGATATAATGAAATATAAACACCTACACCTATCAGACAAAAAAATTTCTTTACAACTGAAGTATTCATCACTGTCATATAAAATCCTGCCATTTTCCATAGAAATATAGAAAACATGTCAGATTTAGCAACAATAATGATTAACTGAGCTGACTCCAGGGGAAAACAAAAAACATGCAATGCTACTGTATTTCAGAAACAAGCAATAACCAGTGTATATCACATGACTATGTTTTACTTTGCCATTATTTTGCTCAACTTCTGAATGGTTTTGACCCCAATATTTTTTCTAGATTAATTTAAAAATGTAGCATTAAATTACATTTTTTCCTTATTTGGGATAGTGGCAAATTATTCACCACATCCTTAGGTAGACTGTTCCTGTAGCTAAATTAACTAGTGACACAGCTATGAATGTGCTTCTGGGTTACATTCCAAGTATATCTGTTGTTATCTTATGACTGCTAGAACATTTCACGTCTGCTTTTTCTACCAGATTGAAAAGCCATCAACTACTAGAATATTACTTCCCTAAAACGTATTATTGTTAACTAAAATTCATTTTCACTTGGATATGCAAATAAATTCAGTTCATTAGCTCTTTCACTACAAGTCAGTTATTCTGACTTCCAATTGCTTCCTCTGAATACCCCCATTCGCTTTTTTGTGATATTAGAGGGAAAGCAAAAATGTGAGCAGCATTACCTGTAAGGACAGAGTCTGTGACTTCCTGAGATACACATGTAGCAAACCTTCCATAGCTTCTACCTGATACTTTACAACAAATAACTGTGACACCTCAAGTCTAGCAGTAGCATACAAATTTGTCAGTTATGTTTGTCTAAACTCAGCTTTGTATTTATAAGATAGATTTAGCAGCATACAGGTACAATGACTATCACTGGCATAGTGTTATAATCATGACAAATGCTCCCAAATACTTGACTTATCCCAACCCATGGAGGTTTGAGACCCCTCTGTTGGTCCATGCATTCCACACTTAGAGCACAGAGGTTCAGCAGTGTTTTGGTGGCCCACAGGGTGATGTTCACCTCCACAGCAGTCGATTCTCAAGTGACAGGCTCAGCAATGCTGCAGCACCTTTTGCAGGTCACACTTAGTGCTAAAGTTACCTTTTCATCTCATTGGGTTTCTATAGCTGTGCCCTTTTGTACTTCTCATTTTGTGCAGATGGACTGTTCTTTATCCCTGCTGAGAGTCAGTTCCAAAACCAACCCAAAGAAAACCAGTCATGTTGTCCTTGTCCTGCAGCTATCCTACTGGGAAGTTGCCTCCTAAAACTGACTCAGAACCATCCACTTCACCCTCACGCTGCCTTAAATGCCATGTTATTGCATTGTTTATCCTATGGCCTTCTAAATGTTAAATCAGCAATTCACTAAATATGATAATGATAAGTCAGCAATTCAGTTAATAGCTAAATGCTAAGTCAGCAATTCAGTTAGTATCTGTCTCACCACAGAAACGCTAAATATATTTACACTGGGTTGACAGCCAATTATGAACCCTAGACCAATGGTTCCCTTTCCAATATCATGCATTCATAACCCCTGCTGTGTTCAGCTGTCTTCTTACGATGACAAACCAATTTTAGGACTCTTACAGTCTGAAAGTCCCCAATGTCACTTCCACATGTCCTTACACCAATATTCCCTGGTAATATATTTATCTGTCTCTTCCCAGCGTTGCATCTGGAGTTCAAGTTCACCTGCCTTTTACCACTAACAGCTATTTGAAAATGTCTAAAAAATATTT